AATAATTTTATTTTTTCAGAGGTTTAGTAGCGTGATCATTTATACCATCATTGTATTATTATGAGTCATATGTTCAAAAATTTTTGTTAATAAAAATACATTAATTTTTTAGTCCATTAAATGGACTAACTTGAATTGGAAGTTATAATACTGCATCTAATTGCAAAATAAATATTCGTTTTATTTCTTCAGCTCAAAATCAGGGAGAATGTTTTTTGGAAAACACTGTCTAAGATTGGACTTTATTCTTCTTTACACTTAGCTTAGGACCGGTTCATAAAGTCCTGGGTCCTAAGTTTTAAGCTGGGTTCTGTTATTGTAAGCTTTATAATTTGGCAAAAATTGCAAAAAAATTAAAAACAATGGGTCAAAGGGTCCTGAGTTTATGTGGTTCTGTCATTCTAAGTGATGTATTTCTGCAAAAATTGTAAAAAACTTAAAAAACAATGGTCGTTCAATTGAAAATATGCACGTATATAAAACATTTATCATTCAACATTCATTTCTATGCAACTTTGTTTTTACTATTAATATTACTTAATTAGCTATTAAGTTATTATACGCCATTTTTTCGCATAAAGAAACGAATATATATGTGTTGTTTAGTGGGGAATGGTGGCATAGAGTCTTACATTGTCTGTACATTTCAAGAGTCCTACATAGCACATACTACAAATAAAGTTCATAAACACTAGTACAGTTAGAGAAATAAACTGACATCGCTGAATCAATTTGTCTTATTATACTGACCACAACCATATATTTATACCATTTCCAATGCCATATTCAATACATTACAAACATCTCGGCAAAACTAATATTGCCTTCTTCAAAATTGAGTAAAGTTAACATATAATTTATAGGAAAAATGTAAAGAAAAACAAAATGAAATAAATTATACTACACCGTAATAGGTTTTCATCAGTACAACCAAAGCGTACTCGATATTAATGGAAACAATATATAAATTTTCCTTAAAACGTTTTATACACTTTAAGATATTGTATCTTATTCAGAGAGTGTTTTTAGTTTAGTACAGGAAAAACATTTATGAAATGATTCATTGTTAATATTTTCACAAAATAAATGTATTGTTATAAAATATTTAAATACACAAATATACTTATAAAACCAGTGTGAATGAAACTACACTTTTTTTTTATTTACAATATCATATTTAGTGTTGAGAGTTTAGGAAATACACTAAAATATTTATTTTTTAATACTAAAAACCGTTTTTAACATTATCAAAATTCTTCTTTAAAGCTTTATAAAAACTGATACAATGGGTCGTACATAAATTATTTATACTTTTAAAGTATTGAAAATACAAATAAATTTTAAAATTTTAAATTAATAATTTTAAATTTATTACTAATGGTAAGTAACTTTTTAAATTTTTACAAAAACATTTATTACATTGTATATATTGCATTGTATATAATGTGTGTACTTACATTTTGCGTAATTGAGATGGGCAAAGTAATTAACTAAAATGACTCCCTTGACTCTATTAAAAGTAAATAAAAATAAAATAATCTTTAAATATATTCAATTTAAATATTTCACTCTGATATACTCAATCCAAGCCTTTTAAAGTTCTCGAATAATTGTTTGATAATAAATTTAACGTATTTGAATTTAAGGTAAAGAATTTTTTTTTACACAAATACTTTAGTGCTATTGAATGCTCTTCAGAGTTTGTTATATAAAAAAATTAAAAGTGCTTTAGACACTAACTCGTGTTTCATCAAGCAAAGAAGAAGTAGATTTGAAAATCAAGAAGTTTTAAGACAGCAAAAAAAGCACAGAAATGGCCACTTCAGAGTTTGTTATTTACAAAACGAAAGAACTTTAAAATAGCAAAAAAATCTTGGAAACCTTACACTTCTTTGGATAAACAATATAGTACTTATATTATTCCGATAGTCTGATATTCTAGCAAGTTACTTTATTGGACAGACGGGAAACTGATCTTTCCCTCAGCTCAGGCAAAAGCGATATTCAAATACTTATCAGCACTTGCCAATTAATTTTGATGCTTTTAAAAAAACCAATACATCTTGGGTAAATGTATACAATTATGCAATGCCTAGGCTAATGTGGCTGACATATGATAGGAAAAAAGCAAGAGATCTATTCCAGCCTACGAAGGCAAGAAATCTCTAAGATCGGGTCTTCCATAAACGGTTACTGGTGATCACGCAGTATCTTATTAGTTATTATTGTAAAAACTGTGGAGATGAGGATGAAGAAAAAACAATGAAATATTTCTTCTGCAGCTATTCTGCTTTAGCTGGACACTAGATGATCTTCTATATCGCCATTTATTCAGCTTTAAATTCTCATGGTTGATTCTTCCCATATGAAGTTCCAATCTGAATACACATGTGATCTTTAACAAATGCAGTACATTAGATACCTGTATAATTATTACTATTATTATATTTATATTAATAATGAAATATTATTAACTGAGTCTTATATTATTCAATACGAATATTTTTCAAGTTTCGGATCTGCGCACATTCAAATTCGACTTTGTTTGCAATATCTAGAGCCTATTAGAAAGAATAAAAATTAATTTGGGTATTCTTCCATCACCATGAAAAAAGCATAGAGCTACCATTATTAGCTTGAAACCAAACAACAGCCTAAGAATTGACGTGGACCCAACTATTTAACTCGGGAGCGAGTTTGTATACAGGAATCGGCCAAATAGACGTTAGCGCTAAATTTGTGTACTACAAAAAAAATTTTTTGGTAGTTGATCTATAAACTAGTAAAATATAACCTTTTGAACTGGCAACCTTTTAAACTAAATGGATGTTGGAATTTGTTTAAAAAGAGCTGATTTACAAAGAAAATTAAGTAATTTTTCATCTAGATAATGTGTAAGTAACAGGTCAAAAACTATTATTTAAATCTGTGAATGTATATAGTTTGGTAATAACAAGTTCACTTGCCAGTCTTAGCCTCTATTAATTTCTGTCTCTCACTACAAAAAAATCTTTTGTAAAAAACGATTTTCTACAAAGAAAGTAGAAAGAGGTAATACCTGCTGTGGGGTGATAGACATGGAACACAAAAATTTTAAGTCGTTATAAAATAAAGTCATTTTAAAGTCACTTAAAATCCGTTTTCCTATTTCAAAATTTTTGCATCACTAAATATTGTCTAGATAATTTGGCCTAGCTTACCTCTTTGTGGTATGGCATAGCATCTGCAAAGATTTTTAGAAGTTTAGTTGCGTGAACTTTTAAGCCACTCTTACGATTATTTTGAGTCATATGTTCAAAGATTTTTGTTAATAACAATAGATAAATTTTTTAATCCATTATATGATGAGAAAAATTTTTACTATTGATTTGTATTGAAAGTTATAATACTGAATCTAATTGCAAAATAAACATTTATTTTATTAAATTCATTTTTATTAATTTATTGCTCTCCATAAAAAATTGAGTACGTTTATAATATACACTTTGCTAGAAATTTATAACTCGTAATATCGTAATTTTTTCTTTCAGAGATGTAAAAAAACAGCATTAAGTCTGGTTAAAACAAATTGGCATCACTTTTCAAATATGTTGTGTTTTTTATTGTGTAGAAATGTAAGAAAAAATTACGGTCACTGTATTTAATTGCAAACTAATGTTTGTTTTTAAAAATTAAAATAATTTTGTAAATTTATAGCTCCATAAAATATATGAAAAATTATTTTTAAACAATTTTTTACTATGCACTTTGATTATATGTTATAATACTAATTGCAAACTAAATATTTATTTTTTAAAAATTTAATATTATTTTATGAATTAATAGATTTTCATAAAAGAGTTAAAAATTTTTATTAAATTATTTTTAAACAATTTATTTATTTTTGTTAATATTGTGATATGCAAAGCAAAGTTTTAATTATCGCCTTTAGGCAATTTTAAGAGTTAGCAAAAATATGCAAAATATGTTATAACCAAACAATTAATTTACCGAAAATGTCGACCTTTTTTAAGTCCAAATTGTTGAAGTTAAACAGTATGCATTTGACAAATATTTTAATAATTTCGTGCCATTTATAAAACAATATAAAGTTGTGTTTTCATGAATAAATATATAATAAAAAGTTTTTAAATTTTTAATATGAAATTTATAAAAAAGTTCAGTCTTCTCGGTATAACAATATGCCACCTTCCGATATCCTTCATAACACATTTTCAGTTTCTAACTCAATTGTAAATTAGTTATTATGTGCATGAATTATTAATGGTACTTTAAAGTTTTTTATAGCAAAAGTTCTCTTATATAAAATCAATTAAGTATCACAGTGAAGTGAAACGACCAGCAACAAACAATAAAAACAGAAACAAAAAAAATAAATTCATTAAATTGCTTAGTAACCTCATAATAAAACTTCAGATTATTTACTATATAATTTTCCCCAAGGATCTGTGAGGATAACTAAAGGCTATGTGTGCTTATATTTATTTACGTTTGTATATATTTGTATGTTTGTATATATTTATGTATATTTTATAAAATGGTATCTTTTGCTGCTGCTCATTAGTGTAGCATAGGTCGTGTTAAGCTTGTGGACATATACAAAATAAACTCTATATCCTCTTAAGCACAAAGACAAAAGGCTTTGTTCACACAATTAACTCAATTTCATTTTTTCTTCAGACTTAAGGAGTGTCCTTAGGAAAAGTACTTAAACAACAAGCAACACAAAAAAGGTAACTTTTTATTTAATGCAATTTTTTTTCTTAAATTAAAAAGTATTTAATATAAAGAGAAATGAAGAAGAAAACTGAAATTGAGTTAAATAAAAATTGAAATAAAAATACACACAAACACTGACAAACACTGATAAATTTTCGGTAGGGATAAAAGTTCGTTTCAACCGAAATGAAATTTTTGAGGCAAGCTGTTTTTATGCTCTTCTGCTGTGTTGCAAGCACGTCTACAAAAACAATTTTAATGTGGAAATACTGTTTACATACCTGTCATCTGTTGGCTTATAAGTCACAATATACTTTTCGACTGGATGTGCATTCAGATCAATCATAGTTTGCCAGGACACTCGTACGGTTGTTGGTGTTAAAAATGTCACTGTAATATTCTCCGGCGTAGCGGGGATGGTACCTGCAATCAATAAAAAATATTGGAAAGTAGGTCAATTAAACTTCGTTGACACTGAAATAATATATTTCGAACTATAATATTCGACAACAAACAACAACAAAGAGAATATCGAGTTGGGCAGACATAGCAAATGAGAGCCAAAACACAAGTTAAAAGTTAAATAGAAGCTAAAACGTTGGCAATGCAATATGTGCACAGAAAGTAGAAGGATATAGTACCTTAACACACTTTAGTTAAAATACGTTACAAAGTCTGAAATTTTATTTAATTACTTTAAGTTTATTGCTTTTTTGGTGTTCTGAAGACAATTTAAGCACATAAACGATGAATTTGCATTTTACAAGCGCAACCACAAGCTGCCAAAGTTTCGAAACTTTTTTGTTTAATGTATTTAAGGACGTTGTGGTCTTACAGCATAACATCTGTAAGACCAGCAATAATGTTCCAAAATGAACTTTGTGCATAAATTTATGTGCAGAAAAAGTTAGGAAATTAGCTTAAAGGCCTAAACAGTTTTCAGTTAGATTCTGAACTATGATTGCAAAGGTTTGTTTGGGTTAAAGTGGTAATATTCATTTAATTAAAATGTTTAAGTGGTTCCTCTCGTACATAGGACATAGTTCAAAAGTAAAATGTATTCCTTATCTACATTGTAGACATTTTAAATTATTGTGATGTTTGACCTTTGGTATCAGCAGACTAATTAGTTAACACTTTCGTTGAGTAAGAGGTAATGGTGGTCGTGAAGAAGTGAAATAAAGTTAGACTACTCATACCCACACTTATAAAAACCATAGTTGTTATCATTTAAATAAAGTAAAATACTTCATAGTAAAATAAATCAATAATAAATGAAAGGAGTTAAATTCTTGTTTACTTGTAAATTTAATTTTGGACATATAGCCAATTGAATAAATATTTATAGCACTTGCTGCAATGATAGTTCAAATTCATTTGTAGGAGGTAGAATGTTACAACTAATGAACGTATTACATATTACTAGATTTTGGACATATAGCCAATTGGACAAGTATTTACAGCACTTACTGCAACGATAATTCAAATTCATTTATAGGAGTTAAAATATTGCAACTAATGAACATATTATATATAACCAGATTTGGTAATATAATGGAAAGATAGATATAAAAAAAAAGTTTAAAATATATGTGTTAATTATAACCTATTAGTCATTTTATATTATTAGCTTCAGAAATACACTTTAAAAAAAAAGTTTTCTTAAAACTTTTTTAAAACCATCCTATTGCTTCTATCACTGACAGAAATCCTGGTGATATTAATATCACCATAGCACGGATGAAATTCAAATCACAAACGTTCTGATTAAGAACTCAGACGAACTAATTATTTAATCTGCCATATATAGCCCTTAATAACAAAATGTAAATAAAGACACGAACACAAAATATTTTTCAATATTAGGGAATCTATTTATAACTGATAGTGATTATAATGCGGAAAATATATTCTGCAGATCCCGACTAACCACAACATACGGATGCGAATTATGTACCGAGGTAGTGAGACACATGTACCTGAACATGTGCAGTGTAAGACCAGCTTAAAGTTATTATCGGGTCATACTCTAGTGGTTGTCATGATAGATAAAGACCTTAGAAACAAGATAAAAATGTCAGTTATTTAAAAAACGAACAATTTGGACTTTATTTAAAGCAATATTGTCATCGTCTCTAAACGTCATAATGTTACAAAAAAGCGAGAAAAAAAACAATTATAGCGACTAAATACCTAATTAAATGTATGCGTGAAGCAGCATAGGAAACGACTTCTCCATCAAAATGTTATATAATGGAGTGATTCTATGCTGGGGTGATCACTAAAAAACTAAAACATAAACGTGGAACTAGAAATATACTGAAATCATTAAAGATCTAAAAATTCTTTTAAAACGACAGGCGGAACTAAATAAGCAGCAGTTCTTATATAGTCTGAACGTGTCTCACTTATCTAACTATTCTTTATGGAAAGTTAACAAAAAAGGTAATAATGTAATAGATTAACGATAATGTGGTAGCACCCAATAATAAAATTTTACTAATTTAATTATTAAATATTAAAAACTATTTATTAATTTATTGGGATTATATCCAAATTCGACCACAATTTCTCTCAAATTTTGCGAGTTTTACGACTCAAACTTAAAAATGAATAAAAATATATTAATAAGCTGGTGATTTACCGTGGTAACCTAAAATTTCTTCTTTTACCACAGCGGTTTTTTTGCTTAATTTAATCATTTAAGTAGCCTAAAAATGATGTACAATATTGCCCAGCTACTGCTTTGACTTTTTCATGGTAAACATAATTTTGCCATTTGGAAGCTAAAAATAAGAAATCATAATTTGTTGGAATAGATGTCCACTGTTTCGATTGCTTTTTCACTTTCAAATTATGATATAGACAAATCATATCTTCAGAAGCATAGACTCTTTTGAAAAGTTCTGAAATAGCTGGAAAAAGAGGTCAGGAATGGTTATGTGGAACGTTTTTGATACACTTCAAGTGAATATAAAACCCATTTGTTGATAATTTTTTCATATGGGAATACCTTTACAAGTAAATTTGGACATATTCACAGATAATCAGTGTCTCATTAATCGTTTGTGTAATCAATGTAAAAACTGCATTAGAGTCATTTATTAACAAGTGGAATGGTTTTTGGTTTTTAACTTCAAAAACTTAATCATTTTTTTCGAGCTTCGGGTACTTTATGTTTGAAAATGAAGGATATATAATAAAAATTTTATCAAAATTGGGAATTATGATGTCATAACCCATTCCGCTTGTAAAAGAATGACACATGTGGTGTACTTCTTGTTATTATATATTAGGGTTGTCCAAAGCATGCAGCATGGGCCTCATGCGGCCCGCTGCTAAGGTTTGTACGGCTCGCGACATGTCTTTTAACTACTAAATTTTCTTTTGGTGTACTGGTAAAACTACATTATTTTATTTGTATGTACCAAATAAATGAATTTAAATTAATAACACTAAGTTTAATATTATAATAACTATAAACGTATGTTTTTGTTTCTGCGGTTCTCCAATCTGTACAGTGATTTGTATTGCGCCACGATCGCATCTGGCCTGTACAGCCCTGTTATAAAAATTGTACAAATTTTGGCACTTTTATCTTCAATATCTCGGGAAGTTAACATGTACCGCAGTAGAAATAATTAATCGAAATAGCTGACTTGGCTAAAACCTGTTGTCAAATTCTAATACCCGTGAAATTGACAAGAATAAATATAGTCCATAACCGATTTTTTGTTATGTCCGTATAGCAAATGTAAGTTAAAAAACTGATATATAATAGGTATTCCCCTATTGAAAAAGCAATATCAAATTGAACTTTTAAATATTACCTTTACTGATTGTATCAAACAAAAAATATTAAATTTTTTTAGTAAACTTATCACTGACTTATCAAATAGTCCCCGTAATTGGTAAGTTTTTTAAATATTATATTTGATATGGCTTTAGGCAATGCTAAAGAAAATATATTCTGTTAACAAATCCAAATTTTTTATGTCACTAATATGTGAACTGTTAAGAATATGTTAATATAGGAGATCACCAATACGGAGACTAACAATTTATGAACTAACCACAAAGACTGTGAGATCGCTAGAATCTTATGGCCTAGTTTAGACAAAAGTAAAACGAAAAGCCTTTTAAACTTCAGCAACCCTACAGTTCGTGTATTTACTAAAATACTAACAGGGCACTCTGCCATTGCGTCTATGTTTAACTTCTCAACGTCATCTGGAAAACCAAATGGCTTAACGAGGATAACAAAGGTTAGCAACTCGTCTTTCCCGGCAAAATTTTTGAGGGCATCACAATGGGCAATATATGTCTCCGAGTGAAAGTGCTGACAACTGTCGCGTTGTCAGCTCGCGCCTTCTGAACCAAACCTAACCTAATGTCTAAAGTATTAGTTAATATGGTACATCAATAATCTAGAAATGTCAGTTATGATTAAAAGATATTTAGTTAATTATTTTTAAAAGAATTGTACAGTCTGCTAATTGTTAAGGTCTTAAAAGTCGTTACATATTGCTTAAAAGTCGTGGGTCAGGTAGTTTTAATTTTATATCTATATCAAAAAAAGTAAAAGAGGGTTTCTTTAATTTCTTTTTAATAAAATTTTATAGCTATAGTGTATTAAATATCTCAATTAATGTTCTTATAATTCGATTGAACATTTACAAGATATCTTCCTGTTTGCTACTATTTACTGCAAGTGCTGAATATTGCTGAATAAATTTCGATATGAAAATTATAAAATATTTAACTTAAAATTACCAACAATTTTTAAAGAAATACTATTTCTATGTCACAACTATATATTTTATATTTTTACAAACAAAGTTGTTCAATTTCATATCTAAGCACAACGTTAGTTTTAAATTGTTACTTTCAAGTTCCTTTATATAAAATTAATCCTTTAGCTTATAAACATAAAACTTTGAGGATGGTTATATTACAGAAGAAAACAAAAATTAAAATGCAAATTTTGTATATTTTGATATTCCAAATAATGTGAATACAAACAACTTTCGGCTTAACGAAAGCACCTACCAGAAATTCTAAAATCGCAAATTACACGCTGTGTATAGCCCATATAAGGGCTAAAAATGTTTATAAATTTAATACATGCTTAACGGTTTTTAATTAATTTATTATTTCAATAGGCGAAAAGTATTTTGTACTAAATTATGCCAAAGTATCTTGCACCACACAAAATTTTCCAAGCATGGAATTTTAATAGCTTATAAACACATGCAGGCTTATGCCCTAGTATCCACTTGTGTGGTTGTGTGTTCGTAAAATGTATCTGAACTGCGTGTCATTCACTTCGTAAAATGTATTAAAGTGCTTTATGTAGGATTTAGTGTGCATTATGGCATTTACAGCATAGAAAATTGTTTTATTCATGTAATAAAACTGTTTACTTATTGCTTGGTGAAGTGAGATTTTATTTGATTAATTCAATTTTTTTAAGTTCGTTTTACGTAAAAGTTAGGGAATGAAGCAATTTTATGAGTTCATCCTTGAATAAACAATAAGTAAATATCTTGCGTTTAGTTGGAAAATAATCTAACACGTTATCAGAAGCACTCAAGGGAAATTTAAAATAATTAACTTTAGGAAGAATAATTGCAAGTAACATTTTATGTATTTGTTTTACAAGTACATGGCTTAATTTAATAATATTCAAGAGTTTATTTATATATGTACTGATGTCATATTACTTGTAGACAGTTTTAATCATATATATATTATTTAAAAAAAAAGAGTGTAACATAATGGAAAGGTTGAATTTAAATTGTAAGATAAAAAGGTTATAAAAGTTGACACTAAATTACTGATATATTAATTTCATAATAATTATAATTCTTCCAACTGTCTGTCATATAAATAAAGATATAAAGACAGTCATTTTAAAATTTTTTGTTCTTTAATTATCATTAACATACATAATTAGTTCACAACTTTGTGGAGAGGTTTCGAAAAGTAGTGGAATGAAGTAAGTCAAAAATTTGAAATTTTCCTAAGACTCAAACTTACAGACTTAATTACAAGTGTAAGCTATGCGTTGACAATATTATTTTATTTAATTGAAATTTATTAAGTGACCTAAAGGTCACATTTCCACATGCTGGTGTGTTTTGCATTATAAAGGCTTAAAAGGGATTTGATTTAATAAGTTTGGGATTAGAATAAAAGGAAATAACTGAAATTTATACAATGAAATAAGACCCTTGTCGAGCTGTCAAATCGGATGTTAAAATTTGTTCAAAATAAATGAAGTGTATATTTTGAAAGAAATTTAAGAAGAAGTTTAGATAAACTTTATATTTTGCAGCAAAATTACAAAATTAAAAAAAATGTTAATAAGAAGTAAAATGTTTAAATGTTTCTATTATATATAAATTCAAGTAGATATTAAATTAGAGCCCTGAAATTAATTACAAAGACTGACAGGCTTACCAACACCGCGTTATCGAATCTCAGAAGAGTTACAGGATCCTCGGGAAGGTATGCAGATCTGAGATTAATTATTGATTAGTCTGATGAAGTGGTAAACAGTAATCCAGTTAAGACATAGAAAGTGATTATGAAGAGACCTCGCAGTTAATAGAGAGTAAAAGTGCTCAAGTGTACTGACTCAACTAGCCTCAACATAATAATTAAATTATTATATAATATAAATAAATTATAATTATCCCATAAAAAACATAATTATTCGGTATAATATTAATAGTAAAATTTCTTGTGAATACTAAATACTCTGCATTCTGCTGCCTACAATTTATTAATTTTTATGTCTTCTGACATTTCTAATAGGTATGCCTTATCGTCATATATACAACACTTTTCTAATTTTAAACAAAATATGTCGGTCAAATTTAATTAACTAGGTCTAACAAGACTAAGGTCCATTGTTAGGAAAAACAATGCATCAGATGTGTGTGTTCTACCATAAGAGTTGTTCATCTCACAGTATATGCCTGTGGCGATGTACTGATAGGATGCATATATCAGTTGATTTAAAGAATATGGGTAGACGAAAGCACGCACAATGTTTGGAACCTCAGTTAAGTTCAATTCCAAATTGTCTAGAAATTATTTTAAATTTTGTCGCTAATGCATTCCTTTTAAATATACAACGTTAAAACATGAAGCTCATAATTATTTACTGATTGGGCCTCAGTCCTTTTGAAGGCTTTATTCTGCTAATTCTAAGATTAAACGTACATTTATACTACTGTAAATTAAGGAAAAATTTTGAAGTAAAATTTTAAAAGTATGTATTACTTGCGGTTTTTGGAAGTTCGTTTAATTCTTACACTTCCTATAAAATAAAAACTTTACATATGTAAATTTGTTGTTATTTATATCGTCATAAAGTCGTTATTTTACCTGTAATACCATAAATATTTTATGGTATCTTCAATACCATAAAATCTGGTTTTATTGAATTTAATATTTAAATTTTGTATTTCGTATAATCTGGATAATAATCCTACAGATTTCTAACTTCTTACAAAAATTACTTATTTGGATAATTTATTTTAGTTTTATTAAATAATTTTAAAATTTTTGTCTCAAAATACTGTACGTAAGTTAGCTTTTTTGAATGCTTCTATCAATTTTTATACTGAAAATATAAATTTACTTTGTAAATTTTCTATCTCTCTATGTTTCCTGTAGTAGCTGATTGGGGTCATATTAGTTATACATTTGTCAATAATAATTATGATTGTTAGATGGAATATTAACAAAAATTTAACAGAAATATTATGCTATTTGTTGACGGAAATACTATTATCGCCCATAGTTTAAAGTTGTTTTGCAAGTTTTTGAAAAGATACTTTTTAAACAAAATGCATAAGCATATTTATAGATAAAGTCATTTTAGTAACTGTTTATCTTTGGTTTTGATAATGGAATAACCGGTAAAGTTAACGGAAATCTCCCCTTAGCAGTAAAAGAGTTTGCCTTATTTACAGGATATTTCCTGTCAAATCATATAAAGTATAAGCAAGTACTTAATTTGCTTTGGGGATGGAAGAGAAATTCTTTATTGGTAGTTTGAAAGTTGAATGGACTATTTCTTCGCTTTTAAATTTTATTTTATTTAAAAATATTGATGAAAACTTTGATTGAAACTTCTTAAGGAAGTAAAGATACTATTTGTATAAAAATAATAAATAAGTTATTCTAGAAATTTAATTTTAGGATAAACGTTAAACAAAACAATAAAAGATAAACGCCAAAAATAAATACGTTTGTTTTAACTCAAAAAAAAAAAAATTAAATGTTCCTAAGTTAGTTAATATATAATTTTTAAATGAATGCAATCGTTATTTTATTGACAGATATCCACCAATCAGTTGAATTATAGTTTAACTTATTTAAATGAAATGTATTATTAGAATACGAAATCATACAGTTTTTGGTATACGATCGATTTTTGATAACAAATTAATGAATTTGATAGCAAATAGTGATGACGAATGAAATATCAATGAATTTATTTTGCAATGAGAAAGATATGTCAGTAGAATTAAAAAAAGATTAAAACAATAATTATAATTATTTTAAGCAACTGTATTATATTCGGAAGGGTTCAAATAGAAATCAGAACACAACAACAAAAATTTCTAGTTCATTTATTGAAATTTGGCTAACTATACAACGCTGTTTTGAGTATTGCCACGTACTTATCATCAGTAGTCTTAGTAAATATTTGAATTTTTTAATTAGTGTATAGTTCCTATATAATTTATTTAAACTGCACTGATGATGAGTACTTAGCAAAACAGCGTTGTGTGGTCAGTCAAATTTTAATAATATAATTAAAAACTTTTGTTGTTGTCTTTTCATTTCTATTCGAACCCTTCTAAGTTTTAAATAGTTTCTTTTCGTCATAAGACGCGTCACTTTCGACAAGAAAACGTTAATATTATTTTATATACAATTTATTATATTGAAGACTTAAAAGTATATTAATTTTTTATTATAAAAATGTTCTATAAAATACAAAAGTATTACTTACCAGCAAAGCAGGCATTCACGACTAAAATCATGATGAAAACGAGCATTTCGTTTGATATATGATATTATTTTTCTTGTCTTATGATATTCAAAATTATTATTTTTATTTATATTTGCTTTTTTTTTTTTTTGTTTTTTTGAAATTATAAGGAGTTTTACATATACATTAAAGAGCTAAGCTAACTAAACAAAAAATCAGTCTTTGTTGAAATTGTTCCCGAAAATCGAAATCGAACTGTTTTTGTACATTAACGAAAAATTACACTTTCCCGCAATTTCGAAAATGTGTTAAAGATATTAATTAAACTAATATGTATATATATATAAATATATTTATGTATAAGTTCTTTATAGACTAATTTAATAAAAATCGTTTGTGTTATTCTTCATGTTAATTGTCATTGCATGCATTTATATATTTTTTTATGTAGCGTTGAGTTAATTGACTTTTTACAGTGTAACATTTGCAGTTAAAATTTCATATTTTTAATTAAATTGTTTGCATTAATTTACATATTAGAATTTTATTGTTTCACATATTTTTTTTTTTTTTCAAACTAAATTTTCTGTTAAACAAGTTGAATTTTTATAGGTTAAGGTGTGCAGATATTTCGTAGTAAATCGATGTGAAGTTATAGTAATTTGCGTATCTTCCGCAGGTATAAGACTAAATCAAACTTTATTATTAACTTATTTTAAGTTTTACTTTATTTTATTTTTACACTATTAACTATAATTATTTTAACAAATTAATGTAGTATATTTTACCCGTTCTCTCTGATATTTTGTTCCTGTCTGTATCGTTCTAATTATACTTTGCAAAGTCTCTTAATTGTTCGTATATATATAATAAGCACTTAGTTCTTTCATCCCATTTCTTGTTTCGTGATTTAAAATTGTGAAAATTATTTATATATTTTCCTGTATAATTACGACGCTTTGACAAGTTGGTAGTCATGCGCTCATCCGTTTAAATTCATTTTAATTTGAAAATCATTTACTTTTACTTATGAATTTTTGCTCTGATTAAACGGCACCACCACAATCTGTAATATACATGCGAAAAAAAAATCGAAAATAAAAATGTTATAGATTCATTCGAGTAGAAAATTATACATTTGAATAAATTAGCTGTGAAATAAACAATCAATTTAATGGCATTGACTATACGGACGAATATAACAAAAACTCCATTATTTTTTTATACGTGTAGGTATATGTGCATATGCTTGCTTGCCAATGTATCTGCTTGTATTTGTATCTACTTCTGCGTGTGTAGCTATGTAAGATACAAAATTGAGTATATTTAACCCATATAACAGAGTTTCGTAGGTTGCGCTGGCATATGTTGCCTTTTTGTTTTGGACAACATTTCTTCTGAAGTTAACATTTTATAAACAATTGCTTTATTTGTTTTTGGTAACATTTTATTTTGCAATTCTCATGCATAATTCAGAGAAATACACACATTTCAAGAAACTTCTGGCTTTTCACTTTTCCCTCGCATTCAGTGTTGTACTCGTAGTATGAGTTGGGGATGTGTTGAGTTTTCAAAATTTTAAAATGTAATAACAACCATTCAATTCTTTTTACAGTGTACAGTTGTGGGGACTGGTATATTTGTGGGCAACTGAAGTTTTATATAAGTGTTTGCAAAAGTATTTAGAAAGCTTCACTGGCAAACATTACAAGTTTCTGTGCCCCACAAAGTTTTATTATTACAAATCAGATTATCACATCTGCAAATTTACACTCGAGTTGCAATTGCTTTGTATCTGCAAAATATACATACCAAATGCTTTCGATGAGATTACTAAAAAGTTAGCTTTGATCCTTTGTTATAAAGAAAATCTAATTATGTATGAAGAAGAGATTTAGTTTGAAACAGTTTTAATTAAGTTAATACAGTATTATGAAATCTTAAATTTCAAACTATTGAAATAAGAATATTGTAGTTTGATTTAATTATTTAATATAAAAATATAAATATAAATTCTTTATCATTAAACACAAACTAATATTTCAAAATTATGTTTTATTTAGAATTTTTGACTTAATTGAATTGAGTTCAGTTCTCAAACTACTGGTATCACAAATTCTTTTTGATATTTCGTACACTAATATAATATTACAAACTCAAACTTAGGAACCACCAAAACTCACTTGCAAATAATCTTATACAAAGCACTGGAACCCAGCGACTCAAAAGGAACTACATAAACTTCCGACTATTCAAGAATAATGCCCGACATGGAAATGAAAATTATCTATTTTTTTCTCTTCTAATACAGCATTTAGCAGCGATAATTTATTGTTAGTTCTAATTAGATTTTTAGAAGATTCAATAGAAAGCAAACTAAAATTCCAACAAAAAAACCCAATATAATATTTTTACAGCTCTTGTGGGAATACGTACATAAGTTAATGTATGTATAATGAATATAAATAGAGAGATACTATTAATAAAAATTTTAAATAAAAGTAGTAATTGAACATAATTGAGCTAGAACTATAAAAACTTCAAATTTAATGCTTCAAACATCGTTATTATTTTGGAAGTCCTTGAAATTTTTAAAGGACTAGTTACTTGACAAGTTAGCTTTTATTTTAAGAAAGTATATATATATATTTAATTAAGTGAATTACTGGGCTAACCAAACAGCTGTTTCTATTGCTGCCAAATAATCATAAGGGAAAGGGATTTTTAATATAGTAAAAGTTTTAGTAAAGCAAAAACAATTCCTTTATATGGGGCATCTTCCAAAAATATTCAACAGTTCAAGAAGGCAAATGATAGTTTGACTACGTCTACTTGTTAATCTGCCACAACTAATTTTACCATGTGAATATTGAAAAAGAGGTGATTATATTGATAAATATAAACGAGGTAGTGGAATATATACACTCAAATATATGCTTAAAAAGCTGAAAGACTGTTAGTGTAGCTTAAGTAAAAAAGTCACTAGGATCATGTGCAAACATATATTCCATGAAAACACACCGAAATGTGTTATCATTCGCACCAAAGAACCACAGAATACTAATTGATGTTTTATTAAGGCATTGTTTGGCTGAAGCACAGTTGCATAAGCTAAATATCACAAGCAGTAATTGATGCAAAGAAATGCAACTAATCGACCATCAAGAAAACCCTTAAGCATTTACTCTTACTCAAAAGCTAGAATAAAATGCTTTTGAACTACCAGTTTTGAGGAACTGAACTTCGTCTGTGACGTTAAAGTGAAGTACCTCTTAAGATTCGCAAAATACGCACACATCAGAAATAACATATATTGGTAATGTGTACTGGTATCGCTATGGGCTTATTACGCTAATATGTGGTCTCAGTCAAACAGTTCAATCTAAATAATTTATATACATTAATTTATTTTCGAAATAATTTAATGCGCATAATAAAAGCAACCAAAAAGCAATATAGTAGAAATTTCAAAGTTAATTGGTTCCAATTAGTTGGAAAATTGACATACTAATGAACTTCTCTATTCGATTTGCATAAATAAATCGAAAAGCAACAATCTTAATTACTTAATTCCTTCAAATTAGTTTCTCTTTGCGAAAAAACCAATATATATACATTACCAATCAAATAACTTTCCATAACAACCCAAAATCAAAAGTATTTACTCACAAATTTTAAGTGGTAAATGTTGTAAAAACAATGCAAAAAAAAATACAAAAAAAAAATATGGAAAGTAAATCTGAATCAATTATTTTTGCAAGGATTTAATTGACAGCTTTAACAAGTAAAGTTCAGATAAATGAAAGCATAAAAAATAGCACTTCAGATCCCGAAAAAGGGATGTGAATGGCGAACCACGTAAACTCACAGGAAATGAGAAAGTCATGTTTGCGGTAAATATTAAAAAGGATTGGGATACTGACGAGTGCCACTGAGCTAAATGTAGAACAAAATCTCTAAGGGCACCTCCACAAGTAGTAAATAAACCGCATACAATAACAGACTGAAGTATTTCCCTAACTAATATACATTTTAACATAAGCTACTATGGAATATTGTGGTTATCTCTTCGTTTAGAGGAGATGAACTTTTAGTTTAAAAGTAAAGAAAGAAATACAACCACATATTATACTAAAAATAAGTATTTTCTGATTGAAAATAGCTTTGATATAGTTCGGTTGATGTTAAAAATGTTTTAATTTTTAATTCAATTATCAAAAGTGAGTTGGATACATTTCGAACAAAAAAAAATCCCACAATTTCTAGTCATTTTCAATAGAATTGTACGTGATTTCAATGCTTTTATTTAGGAAATGCAATGAGTTGATATACCTAATATTATATAACAGTTTTCAGTTTCAGTCCACACAAGCAATTAATGAAATTACGAACTAATTGCTAATTAGAACTGTAAGCGATTTACTTACGGTAAACATGCAAGAATTTTATACAGAATACTCATATATGTCTGCAATTAAATATTATAAAACCTTAACATATATATTTAAAATTGTGAAAACAATAAAATTTTAAACTATATATCAGATATCGTGCAAAAAGCTAACAGTAATTTAAATATATTTACAAAAGTCGCCAACAAAACTGCTAAAACATTTACTTCTACTCATATCTACATATGAGTACATTAATTTCTTCATCGTTGAAAGACTTTGACTTAACCATTATTAAATAGAGCTAAAGAATTGGACAATAGTGAAATACTTTAGCCTCAGCCGAAGTAGCAATAGGGTAAGAATATATAAAATATGCGATGGTTTATCTACAATTATTCAAGAATTAAGCAACTGATTGATCTTGTTTACTTTTCGGTGTCCAATAAAGTCATTGTACTAACTTAATGTTTCCTAATACCTAGGTTTACCAAAAGGATTGAGACTTCAACAAAAGCTGTCGAAGTTGTGAGTTTAAATAAGCAGAAGAAAATTTTGCTAATCTAATCTGTGACTGTTAGAAACTCCCCAGAAGCCGAAATGTCTATCCGATATTCTTTAATATGCATATAGTAATAAAAACACCTTTAAACTGCTTTATGCTATCAAAACAAATCTACGTATTAGAGTCCTAGCTAGAATTCTTAAGGCAGGATCCAACTGGTATCTATCCGTC